GAAGAAAGGCAGCCAGCCTCTGTGAGCTTCTTTAACCTTGGGAATATTTCCTACTCCAGTTCTAAGTACAGATTTGCTGATCTTCCTCATTTATTTGGTCTGCTTTTCCTACAGAAAAGCAGACACGGACAAAAAACAGTCCCAATTTCCCCCCAGCAACTACAGAAGAACCTTCTCATTGCACACTTCCAGAATGAGCTCACCAGTGTTTTCCCAGGGCCAAGGATCATACTTGTCTTTTAGTGGTGCTACAGGTTTTCTCTGCTCAGGCCATTGTTTGAGGAGGGAGCTCTGGCAGTGCCCTGCTCCAGCTCGCTGCCATCCCAGCCCTGGAGCACATTCCCAGGCTGGTGCTAGACCCGGCCCTCTGCTGCGACAGCTCCCGAGCTGCACAGGGCCATTGTTGAAACGCTGGAGAGCCCCTGTGCAGCTCATCTGCCTGAGAGCACAGACAGACAATTGTGCCAGCACAGCTGAACAGGCAAAACACAACACAGGCAGGAATGGGCAGCCAGCACATCGTGGCAAGGCACCACAACTCCCCACCCGGGAGAACTTAAACCAGCTCCTCACAGTGCTCTGCCTTCCCTGGCAAACAGCCTAAACCACTTTTTAGGGTATGAGAACAGATAGATAAAAAAAAGATTTTATTCCAAGTTCTAACTCTAGGATTTTGTCAGCTTTATTTTCCGGACAAACAGTTTTTCATCACTAATTCCATGGGACCTTCCAAGAACAGGCGGAGGTCACCCATCTTGCACAGGGACCTGGGGCTGGAGTAGGCTCTATCCTACAGCAAAGCCCTGGCCAGAACCAAAAGTAAGAATATCCACCACACAAGCTAGACCAGATTGGAAGACCCCTGAGGCTTCCAACTGTTTCTGAAGGGAGCTATCTTCCCATGATTTTGCAGCTGGAGAAAGCACAGCCTTTCCACATTCTAGCCATCTCTCAGGCTCCGGCATTTTAAAAGTATCAATTTGGGGCATAAACCATGCAAATGGCTCTCAGGTCATTAACTCCATCTGTCACTGGAAGAAAATTCCAGGGGTCCTGTGCTCCTTTGGCTGGTTATTCACAGGCTCCCTTCACCATGCTGCCCCACACTCCAGCAGAGCTTCTAGGAGAGCATTTTTCAGAAGTCAAAGGAAGGCAACCAGATCCCAATTCAATAAAGAGCATTCCTAGAGTTTCCATGTGCTTCTTATTAATACCCAATCTTGAGCACTAAAAGGGCATTTTCACTTTCAGGAGAAAGATGCCAAGACTGGAGGCCCCACATGCAGAGAGAAGCTACAAATTTATTTTCTACAGGAGCTGAGCAAGAAGATACCTTCAGCATTCTGGACTAAGTGATTAGATCTTGGGAAAGTTTCTAAATTTGGTAACAGACCACCACACAGTGTTGCCTGTTCAAATTCAGAAGTCATGACAGAGAAGGAAAGAGTTCCAAATGACAGCTTAAGAGTCTGAATACTCTCTAAACACATCTCACCAGAACCAAGGAACTCGCTCTCAAAATGCCCCTAAGGGCCACACTGGTGATGAAAAGATCCTGGAAGTGACATGAACCAATAACCAGCACCAGCCACCTTCAGATGGCCCTAAGCACTCAAACAAGCCTTGCATAGTGCCCTGTTTATATCGTGAATCCTGCTCCTTCAGTATTTCCTGATTTTCTCTCTCCTCCAGCACTCCCTGCCACTGTGTGGGTTATGCATCACCACCACATTATCCATCCATCAACTCAGTCACCACCCTCACTCTGCTTCCTGTGTCTACAACATCCAGAACTACAGCACAATCCCACCCCAAACACCTGCCCTGTATATTGAGATCCTTGTACAAAACCAGCCAAAGTCAGGACGAAAATTCCAGTGCCATACATCACTGGTAAGAAAGGGGAAATAAATAGATCAAGTTTATGACAGAATTCTAAAAACACTCATTTATTAATCTGGGAAAAAGAATATATACTTTTGAGTATGTAAGAAGATTAAGACTCCCTCTAGCAGAGACCATCTAATGAGAGTTGTGATAAATCTGAAGTACATAAGGTTGCCAGATATTGGTGACTAATAGGATACACATTTGTTTTTAAAAACCACAGCCTTAGCTACACAGAGACTAATCAGAGCAGTCTAAATTCCCACAAAAGTAAAAGAAAGCTCTTTTGCCCTATGGCTGATTTTTCCTGCCTTTTTCATGAGCCAGCACACATCTGCACAACCTCAGATTTAATTTTTAAAATAAACACTGATAATAGCTAATCTTGGGAGCAAAATTAATGTGCAGATCACATTTAATAGGTGCAAGGCTTCGAACGTTTTTAACGGCCCTTCAAATGTCATGAATTCAATTCCAAATCAATGCACTCAAAACACATCCTGAAAAGTCCCTGCTTTTTCACCATTCCTGCTACAAAACTAACTGGGAATAGAGGCCAGAACTGCTGGCTTCACTTGGGTCACATCACTGAGCACAGCCACAAGCTCTTTGCAGCCTCACCACCCCACGCAGCCCTGCACACACAGCTTGGCTCCTTCCCCCAAAGAATGGTTTAGGCACTTTGGTAAAGAGTAATATTTTGTTGTAATCAATAAAATAAGCAGTTCTGTTGGGATGCACACAGAAAAAAGGGAAATTGGGAACAAAGAAACACTAGGTCAGCAGAGCAGATCTGACTATAATCACTCACAATCCCAGACTGCTCCCAAACCTTAAGTTAGTCATTGCCTGCCACATGCTGTCCTTTGGAAATAGGTGGCAGGGGAAACAGTCAAGCCTTAAATTTAATAAAAATAAACCTTCCCAGACTTAAGATCCTCCTACATCATTATTTCTACCTCTAACTACTACACAGACTGACAGAACATAGTTCAAAAGTCATCTGTGTACCTAAGAAGGGGCTAAACCACAAACCAAAGTCCTGGACATCATTATAGCAACTGTCCTTGAGGTTTAATTCTACTATTGAAGGAGGCAAAAAGAAAAGTAGGAGAGTTGGTCCCACAGCAGACCCCTCATCCCACCTGGTCCCATTTACATTATTTTTTGTCTAGTCCCAAAAAGCCTCAGAAGAAGGAAAAGATAAATAATCAAACCCACAAAGAAACCCTTCTCTATCTACTTTTTTTCTTTTTTTTTTTTTTTAGAAATCCACACAACAACCCCTCCCAAAAGATGCACAGAAAAGGACAATTCTCTCACCCATTTTTATTAAGTGCTACAAAGTTTGCCAGCATCACCACAGCACAGATCCTGACCAAATGGCTTTAGGTTCAGTCTCATTCCAAATAACATTAAAAACACATTTCAAAGCAAGTATTTTTAAGATGAATGCATTCTCCCTAGCTAATTGAATATTCAGAGAAAGAAAAAAATAAGTACAATTTTTAGGCTTTCAAATTCCTGGCTATTAAACCACCTGGGAAACAGACTTCAGAAGGAAACTACTTTAGACTCAGACAGTTTAGTATATTTTTACAGGCTGGTTGTCAGTTTTATAGGCAGAGAAGAAATAAGGGCTTTTTTCCCCATTGTCTTCAAGATTCAACCCACTGTAAAGCAAATAAAGCAAATGGGCAAATACATTTATAAAATATTTCCCACAGATGAGTAACTGTTCTTTTCTTTGCTCCACAAGTTCAGAATCACTGCTGCCCTTGTGAGCATCCAGGTACAAAGTCATCGAATGCCTAGGAAATTGTCACAGCATCAAGTGACGCCCAGAGCTCTCACAGACCGCCACAGCAGCACCGCTGGCACTGCCCTTCCCAAGAGTGAACTCTTGGGATGGAAATCAGGTTTCAGCCACTCTACCAACAGTAGATCTAGTGCAAAACGGGCTAGGAAACCAAAGACGAGGGTGCTACACCCACCTGCACTGCTCCTCGGGCCTCACAGGCAGAGCTGTGGGCTGCTCCGGGAAATTGGTCAGCTTGACCCTCTGGACAGGCAGGAGGCCGGCCTGGGGAAACACCCACGGGACAGAAACCCCGAAGCCATCCCACGGGATGACATCCTCCGGCTGTCCCCGGAGCCAGCGCAGGAGGAGCAGCACCGAGCCCTCACAAGAGCCCTGGCCAGCCCGACATGCCACACGAAGGGGCAGGGCAGGCACGGCAAACACCCATCAGCACAGCCAGTTAACACCGCTCCGGTCCCAGGCTCCCAGTACCGGCGCTCGGCGGGGACCTGCGAAGGAGCCTCCACCGAAGCTGACGGTTTTGCAGCTCCGACTCGACACCAGGCGATCTCCAGACAACCACAGGCACGGCCGGGCACAGGCACAGCCCCGGCCCGCGGCCCGGCCGCTCCCCGCCGAGGCTCCGGTCGCCCCCGGGGATCGCAGCCGCCCAGCTGCTGGCGCACAGCCCACGCGGGCCGGGACGGGGCGGAGCGGGCAGGCCCTGGCGGCTCTCCCGCCGCTCCCCCGGCTCTGCCATGGCTCCAGACCAGGCCGGGGGCCCACAAGGCCGTCCCGCGCACCAAGGCCGCGGCGGACGCCCCGGGCCCGCGCGGCCCGCTGATCCCGGCCGAGAGCGACGCGGTGCGGCGGCCGTGGCCCTGCTGAGCACGTACCTTTGAACAGATAGTCGTACTCGTCGTCGCGGGTGCCCATGGCGATGGCGGCGCCGACCCTCTGCCTGCCCGGCACCGACCGCGGCCCAGCCGGGGAGGGGCGCTCCCGCACGGCCCAATCAGCGCCCGCCAGAGACCGCAGGAGGCGGGCACTGCGCCAGACCCATCAACGACAGCCAATAAATGACGGGAACTCCGCTGACTGGCGGGGAACGGTGCCCAATCGAAGAGAGGCAGCTGGGGAGGGGCGGTGCTTGGGTGCCCGAGCGGGGACCCTGAGAGACGGGGCGGGGCCGGGTGGAGGGGCGGGGTTTGTGTGAGGGCCGGGGCGGGGCTCCGGGGCGCGGAGTGGGGGCAGTCTGCTCGCGGCGGGGGTTGCAGCGGGTGGGGGGCGGCCCTCAGGGTTATGGGGACCCTCCCGTTTTGAGCGGAATCGCTGGGAGAGAGGTTTCGCCCCGTTTGAGAGTGACCCCCGATCGCTGGGGCATGGCGTCAGCTCTGGGCGGGGGAGAGAACCGGCCCGGCCCGGGGGTCAGCGCAGCAGCGGAGCCGGGGAACACGGAGGGGGAGGCCTTCAGCAGCGCCCCAGGACGCGCGGCTGCCGCCCAGAGCCCCCGCCCCAGCCGCCTTGCTTCCCCCTCGGGCTGCTCCGTGCCCCGCTCAGCGCTCCCGGCCCCACCTTCCTGCTCAACACCAGCTGAAAGGCTGTTCTGGCACATACATGCCCTCACAGGGACACAATTGCTCGAGGAAAACATTTCCCCTTCTTTTTCCTGGCACGGCTCTAGGCAGTTTCCTGAGCGGAGTAGTGACGAAAGGCAGAGGCTGTGGCCACTCGGGCAGTGACGGCGGGACGCCCTTCGCCTCGGCTTTGCGACCTCCAAGTGGGACATCCTTCATCCTTCACCTTCCCGACGGCAGAGCTACAGCAGCTCATCCTGGGAACGCTGTCCAGGCTGCAGGACCAGCCTCACGGAGCCACTCGGGAGCCCAAGGGTATCCTGCTGCCCTGGTGGCCCCCTCCTCGTGACCCCATACAACCTATGCACACTTGTGTCCCATCACTGGACTGACACCTTTGGTTGTTGTTGGACAAACCCTGGAAGGGAAACTGCCGACTCCCTCCCCGCCTCTGTGATGTGCAGGGAAGTGGCTCTGCTCATCACACATTTCTCTCTGTGCTGTGCTCCTCACGACAGGTCTGCCCTACTTCCCTGGAGGAGTGTTTATCCAGCTAAAGGATTAGTGTATCTGCAGTATCACAGAGGGAGCAGCATCAAGACTGAGACAATGGTGAGGAAAAAGCTCTGGCTTTGGACCTATTTTTGTTGGCTTTGGGTGATGCTCAAAGTGGGAGCGATGTCAGTGTGGGGACAGATTCAGACCCTCCAGGCTCTGTGGCTCTGAGCTGCTCTCATCTTCTCCCAGACGTGAACACCTTAGACAGGCAGGACCATGGTATCCAAGGGGTCCCATTTCCAAAAATAAGTGCTAATAAATTAGTGGGGACAGACAAAGAGGCAGCAGCCTCTGACAGCTTGGCTGGGTGACACCCAGGCTATCAGCGATCCAGGCTCTGAGAATGGGTGACAACCAACATGCTGCAAGCACACTACAATCCCACTGCCAAGGTATCTAGGTATCCCTGTTGCATATCAGGCAATTGAAGCAGCACGGAAGGAAAGCCAAAATTTCACAGAACCTGCAGTCTAGGAAAGATGCAGCTCCAGCCTAGCAATGGTTTGGGCCAGTTGTTCCTCTGTGACAGGCAGCAATTGCTGAAGGAGTGGGGAGGGAATCTTTTCTTAGGGGTTTTGATGTTCACATGCAGCATGGAGCATCAGGCTTGTAATCCTTCCGATGCCAAAGGGAGTTGTAACGCCAGGATCTACAGGAAGGTGTTACTACTTTCTCCTGTTGATGCTGTTCCTGTTTTTGCAGGACCCCAGTGAAATGCCTTGGTGGGTGATGTGAGAGTCTGTCCGAATTTTCCCTCATCTGCCTCACGACCGTCATTTGGGGACCACTGAAGAGAAGACCCCCTGTCTAAAATCTCTGGCTCCATAGGAGAAAGTCACATCCCATAAGACCTGAGACCTGAGAGCATTGGTAAGTTATTGTTTTCACAGGTGTATTTACTATATGCTACACTGAAACCAATGAGAAGAAGAAGGGGGCACTGTGCCCTTTTTGCAACAATAGCCTTGGAAGCTGTCCCACCTCTCGGCCTGGCTGGACTTCTCCTGAGTTCTGGGTGGTCCCCTGCAGAAGACCCCTCTCACTCGTTTGCAACCACCATGACAGACAGACTGAGATGTAAGGAGCCTTTCCCTCAAAGACCAAGACATGAAACCCCCCTGTGAAAAGGCCCCTCTGCTCCTTCCAAGGACCGGGACTGAAACCCCCAACCCGGGGGTGGTGTGTGGGGGGAGGCAAGCTGACCAGAGCGAGATGGATGTTGCAGGTGTGAGCATTGGACCACGAAGACAATGGCTCTCACCTACCGCTGAGAACGTAGATTGTGTGCACCCCTTTCCAAATACCATCCTTTCCCCCAAAGATACAATATACTACCTTTGATTCAGTTTCAAGATCTACTCCCCTTCCCCCATCGAAAAAGAGTAGAATTGGAGTCCAGATGAACTGTGCCTCTGAGATCTCCCCAATGTAACAGGCGGATCCTCGACTGGACTGGACCAAAGGACTTCATCTCTACGTTTGGTAGCTATCTCTCTCTCTCTCTCTCTCTCTCCCCCTCTTTTCTCTCTCTTCCTCTATCTTTTTCTCTCCCTTAATTCCTCTATTGTATTTTGCTGTGGTCATTCAATAAAGGTGCATTTGCTTTGATTCTCACTGCAAATCCCCTGTGCCGTGTTTGTTCTTTCCCACCCTGAGATCAAATCCACGAATCATCACGAAACCCATTCGTAAGGACGGATCGTCACAGGTGATGACTAGAGCACATCCAGGGGTGCTAAGCATCCAATGATCAACACTTAAATAGCATCAGGAGGAGCAAAGCTGGAACATGTTGGATGCAGAATCTCTTAGGAAGGGCTATTATCCCATGCTGAGTTTCTCACTGCTGATAATGCTGCAACCAGTGAGTGGCTATGTGACAGGAGGGAGAGGTGACTCCTTGCTGGTCTGCAGAGGGAGCCTTTACTTCCCTGATTTGCTCTGCACAGTAGAAGTAAAACATCTTATTTTCATTATTACAAGTAACTTTTTTAGTTCTGAACTGAACACTTATGGAAGAAGGCCTAAAAAACCACTAAAGCTATTTTTCATCAGTTTGGATGGAAATCACTTTCTTCTTTTCTTCTTCTAATGCCTGGGAGTTCTTGCCATAAGTTCTAAAGAGCAATACATAATGGTGGTACCATTGTGAGTGCCATTCAGCTCCAAAATCTCCTGGGACAGGGTTTTAACATGGGCTGGAGGAAGTGGAGATGATGATTTGGTGTTAGAAGAGGGATGCTGTCTTGGGGCTGTGTAGGATTAAGCATGAGCCCGTAGTCCCCAGGTTCTTCACATCCTGGAGTCCCCCCAGCTCGTGGTATGTTTTGCATTGGAGAATCAGTGTCATGTGACCAGATATCAAAACCAGATATGTGTAATTGATGGGGTAATGCAATTGCAGAACCTTCCACATGTCCTCAAATTGGCCACAGGCCATAAAGCTTCCAGGGCAGTGGCCTGAGGTCCCACCTGGTCAGCAAACTGGTAAGGAAACTCCCCTGTCAGACCATTCAGATGCTGCTCGGGGGGTCCCACTGTCAGCAGACTGGCACTGCTGGGATCACAGCCCCTTTGCAGCAGGGGCTCCAGTGACCCCACAGGCCCCGTGGGAGTCCCTGTACACCCCACAGTCCCCCAGTCAGAGCAGCTCCTCTCACCAGCTCAGCCCCAGGTTTCCCTCAGCACAGTCCCAGACTCCAGTTCCTTTGTGGTGCAGGGACACAGAACAGCTCGAGCTGGTGCCCTGGGGGGGACCCTGGACAAAGTCTGCCCAGGCTGTGCCCATCCTGATGCTGATGTTTAGCCTGGCTCCTATTCCTGGCTCCTGCAGAGTCCCAGAGCCCTCACGTGGCTCCTTAGGGCCCCAAACCCTTGGTCAGGCAAAGGGTCAGTGTCAGATCCCAGCCCCTTGCTGGGGTCTCTGGCCATTCCCCCCACTCTGAGCACAACCTGCAGATGCTGCAGCTCCCTGAGCTGGGCACTGGAGCATCCCACAACAGACCTCCCTTTGTTTTAGTGGAGCACACCTGCTAATATATTGAAAGGAAAAAAAAACTTTCAAGGCATTTGAGTACTGCCCTTATATACAATATTATCACAATTAAAAAACATAACAGAATTAAGGCCAACAGGGTGTAGTACAACATAGACTCCTGTGCACAAATGCTTCACAAAATCACAAAAGATTCTCAGAAGTCAGTTATTTATCAACCCATTGATCACAGATTCACAGAATCATTAAGGTTGAAAAAGACCTCTGAGACCACCAAGTCCAACCTATGATCGAGCACCACCTTGTCCACTAGACCAGAATACTGAGCACCACATCCAGTCTTTTCTTAAACACCTTCAGGAACAGTGACTCCAACACCTCTCTGGACAGCCCATTCCAGCGTCTAATCACCTTTTCTGTGAAGAAATTCTTCCTAATGTCCAACGTAAACTTCTCCTAGTGCAGCTTGAGACTGTCCTCTTGTCCTGTTGCTGGCTGCCAGGTAGAAACTCCCACCTGGTTTTACCCTCTTGTCAGGAAGTCGTGAAGAGCAAGAAGGTCCCCTCTGAACCTCATTTTCTCCAGGCTGAGCCCTCCCAGCCCCCTCATCTGCTCTTTATCAGACACTTGCTCCAGATCCTTCACCAGCTTTGTTGCTCTTCTCTGGACTCAGCACCAAAATGTCCTTTCTGAATTGATTGGCCCAGAACTACACACAAAACTCAAAGTGCTGCCTTACCAGTGCTAAGTTCAGGAGAAGAATCACCTCCCTGGTCCTGCTGGCTACACCTTGGCTGGTATAGGCCAGGTGCTGTTGACCTCCTTGGCCTGAACACTCCTGGGCTTGTGTTCAGCCGCTGTTGACCAGCACCCCCAGGCCCTTCTCTGCTGGGAGCTTTCCAGCCACTCTGCCCCAAACCTGCACCACTGCAGGGGATTATTGTGGCCAAAGTGTAGGACCTGGGAGTTGGTCTTTTTGAGCCTCATGCTGTTGGTCTTGGCCCATCAATCCAGCCTGTGCAGATCCCTCTGCAAAGTCTTCCTACCCTCCAGCAGATCAACACTCCCACCCATCTTGGTGTCATCTGTGAATTTACTCAGGGTGGGCTCAATCCCCTTATTCAGATCATCAGTAAATATACTGAACAGGACTGGGCTCAACACTGATCACTGGTCTCTACTAGTGAAAATAATTGAACAGATCATCTACTGGTTGTTTGATGTGAGAAGAGTGTATCCAATTTTTCTTACCTATAACTTTAACAGCAAAATAGGAACACAGTAAAACAGCACATGACCCCTCCTATGTAGGTACTAATTTGGATTTTCTAGAGAATACCTTATTTAAAATTCCATCTCCAGGCTGTATATCATGTAGCTGTATTTCGGGGGATTGAGCTGATAACACTGAGCATACTTTGTTATTTGAACCCTTTCTGACTATATATAACACACTGGGTCAATCTCCATCCAGTAAGCTGGCCATAGCTGGGATATAAGATCCTGGCATAGCTGAGTGCCTTCCAAAGAGAATTTCTGTTCGTGTCAGCCCTATGGCTTATCATAGTGTATTCTGAGTAACCCACAGAGACAAATGTAAGGCTTCTGGACATTTCAGATTAGTGTACATGCATATTTTCACTATCTTTTCTTTTAAAATGTTCTGTTAGTTCTCTCTGCTTCTCCTGAAGACTGTGAGTGATGTGGTATATGGAATTTCCTTTCTCTCCCTAAAGATTTGTACAGCTGATGGATTATATTTGCTGTAAAATGAGCACCTCAGTCTGTTTCAATAAGCTCTGGAACCCTGAGTATCAGGTATAAATTCCTTTAGGCAGGCATTTACTACTCCTCCCATGTTAGCCCTTCATGTTGGAAAGGCTCCTGCCCAGCCTGGCAGCTGATCTACCTTCACCAGCCAGCTCCTGTCCCCAGCTGGAGGTGAAGTGTCCATAGGGTCTGTGCAGCCACTGGAAAGGGCAGCAGGCCCATGGTAACCCTTCCACCTCTGAGCTTGGGCTGTTACATGAGAGCTTTGGGCAAGCTGCACAGCTATTAGTTATTTATTTTGCAGCAGCCTAAATTCCTGGAGCTGCCCACACTTTTTGTCCCTCCATGGGCTTTACCCTGAAACCATCTGACCACAGTTACTAAACATTTCTTTGGCAGACCAGTTTTTCTCCAGCTGACCACATTCCATCACTATTTTGAGTTGCCTCCCACTTTTCCCATCTCTTTCCTTCTGTTGAGCCATCCTTCTCTTAGTTTGAAATTCTGTCAAATTGGGCCTTTCACTCTCAACAACCATTAGACAGAGTCACAGTGCCCCATCGTCCCCATCGTCCCTAGCTGTGCCTTCACAGCTGCATCAGCTGGGGCATTGTAATGCCTCTAGTATGGGCTGGGCAAGGCACTCCAGCAGTTTCTGCAGGGAATTGTACAGCTTCTGGCAAACTGCGTATTTCTTCTCCATTGGATACTCTGCTGATGTGAAAAATCCCAGCTCTTTCCACAACATTCCTGCTGCATGACAAACACCAAAAGCATAGCAAATATCAAATGTATGGCTGTTAACTCAGTTCCCTCTTCCCAGATGTGCAGCATGAGCCAAGGCTGCTCCCTGTGTGCTCCTCCTTGCTAGGAGTGGTTCAGCTTCTGTTGCCTGTCCCTGGCATCCCCACGGGTGGTCTACCCAGACCATCACTGTCCTTGCGGGTAGCAGGATGAGCCCAGAACTAGATCTTGGTTATGTGAGGGAACATCAGTAAATGGAAATCCTCATCCCTTGCTCAGACTGGAGATGGGCTTTTCCACTGTCAGGTAGCGGCATTCGGCTCACTGGATTCAAGGTGTTGCGTCTTTTTAAGAGTATCTGCTGGTAGGAGGATTTGTTGTGATAGAGCTGGGGTTGGATACTGTTTCAACACTATCTCCACCTCATGTGGGACATGGACTGTTGCAGGATGTCCCAGGGTGAGGGGGTGGCTTTTCTCTAATGTTGTTGCTGTTGCCACCACCGACAGATGACAGGCTGGTGCTCCCCCTGCAACTGGATCCAGATGAACTGAGGAATGTGCAACCAGTCTGGTAGGGTCCCACTTCCTATGTTACTACTCCAGTGGCCATTTCTTTATGCTCATGTGCACACATGCACACACACACACACATATATGTATATATATTATTTTTTTCAGTAGCAAAAAATCTTTTCCTTTTCACTGAAGGGAAAATACAAAGCATTTTGAATGGAACCAGTTTCCTGCTCAGGCAGGACTTTTTGCCCACTGTCCAGGAAGAAAATGAAAGTTTTCCCAAGTTAATAGAAATAATATTAGTGTAAGAAAGTTTTCTGCTGCTTTGCACATGCCACTAGTCCCAGCCATAGGTGATGCCCTCCCTTCATGAATAGAGCACAGCAGATCTTCAAGAACAGCTACAACAGTTCTCCTTATTCTGAGGGAAGTCTTCAAATATTACTTGTATGGTATGTTTATCATCCCTTCACCGAATATAAATGTACATGGAGAAAAATGTGCTTTTACAAATGTTCTTTTAGAAATATACAAAACAGCAGAGTTATAAGTAAGTGCATGTCCACAGGGAATCTCATATATACACAAAATAAA